TTTGTCTACCAACAGGAATGATCCAGGAGGAAGGCAAATATTGATGGCGCAGGAGAAGAAAAGGAGACTGATGGAGAAATGGCCTGGATAGGTGAGGGGGGATGGGACCTAGTGGATGAGTGGAAGGGTTGTTCTCAGCTGGGGCACGAACAGCTCATCCCCACTGACTGCAGAGAAAGAAGCCCATGAAAGGAAGTGTGCCCTTAATTCAGCAGGCAGAATCTTTTCATGGAAGGTAATGTGATACAAAAGAAATTGTTCCCGCAACTTCTAGGGATAGAGGTAGTATTTTAAAAAATAAACTGTCTGAAAAACTATTTTTTCCTCTAAACCTAAAGGAGATCTAGGTGTGCAGGATAATAAGACAGAAGAGTCTTTCACCTATGCTGCCACTGAAGTCAGCATTTCATCAGGCCAAGCTGCTCAAACCCAGGAGTCACAGGCCACTCAGCCTGGCCATATTGAATACAACCGGTATCCCATGTTAACCACACCAAAAACTGCATCAGAAAGTGGAGGGGCTGCTGTCTGAGAGAGAACATTAAGTAAACATAGCGACATCTGATGGCTATTAAATACAGATATCTCAATAAACAACTTATAGATCAATCAAATAAGATAGCCACACTCCAGTCTGGTCTCAATCCTTCAAAGGTCAAAAGCCCAACAATGTTTACACAGCAACAGGGGGCAGAGTTCTTTACGGAAATGACAGTGCCCCTTCTGCAAAAGACTTGACTTAGCATGAACACTTGGGAATCATGGAAGTGAGGTCACTCCATCAGTGCCCTCTGAACACTAACACATGATAGAAGATCTTTCATCCTGAACAACATCTTTATCTTCTTACAAGCTTCTCTGGAGTGGGAGAAAGATATAAATCATTAATCCCACAAATCACTCATCCTAAGGGAATTCAGGGGGAGGGGAGGAATCCGACTCTTCAAAGACTATTACTGTTAAAGCCGACTGCATTTTAAAAACAAACACATCGTACAAATGCCCTGCACTACTGCCATGCCTATGGTCTCAGCACAGTTAGGCAGAGCCAGTGGTTTTGCTGTAGTAGCCTTAGTGCCATCCGACTGCTGACACAAGCCAATGCAGAAACCCGCCATCATGGCATTAACAGAGGCACAGCTGCAGAGCAGGGCAGGTGAGGAACCCAGCCTCTAGCCCTTCACTGGTTTCCTCCACTGTTGGGAAATAAAGCCTTTCCTCAGAATCCTGCAAAGCCTAGCAAGCAAGCTTCTAGCTCTCTCAATAAAATAAAGCCTCCATCCTGCTCAGCTGGCAGTGGAGAAATCTGGTGGAGCTGGACTGGGCTGGGCTTGCTGAGTGGCTCTCCCTCTGCACCCAGTCCTTGGCCTTGTCGGCCACTGCAGGATCATGTCTGTCAACTTGGCATGCTTGTTTCTTCCCCTGTCTCTACTCAGAGCTTCCTGAAAGCCAATACTATACCTCATTCATCTCTGAACCCCCAGCACAGTGCACAGACTCAAGCACTTGTAGGCCCTGAGTAAACACTTACTGAATAAGTAAGTGACTGGGCCACAGGCTCAGCACTCTTCCCCTTGCACAACGTCTCTCCCCACTGGCAACTATGGTGGTTTTAAATGTCCATGAATTCTTTGACACTTCTTCCTTCAAAAAGGAGAGCCTCGGGCCGGCCCGGTGGCGCACTGGATAAGTGCGCCGCTTGGGAAGCGCAGCAGCGCTCCCGAAGTGCGCCGCTTGGGAAGCGCAGCAGCGCTCCCGAAGTGCGCCGCTTGGGAAGCGCAGCAGCGCTCCCGAAGTGCGCCGCTTGGGAAGCGCAGCAGCGCTCCCGAAGTGCGCCGCTTGGGAAGCGCAGCAGCGCTCCCGCCCGAGGGTTCGGATCCCACATACAGACCGGTTCCCGCTCACTGGCTGAGCGAGGCGCAGGAGCAACACCGAGGGTTGCAATCCCGTTGCCGGTCCCCGGTCCGGTACGGGGGCAACACTGAGGGTTGCGATCCGTTGCCGGACACGGAAAAAGACAAAAGACAAAAAAAAAAAAAAAAAAAAAAAAAAAAAAGGAGAGCCTCGTTCCCTCCTCTAAAATGTCAGTCAGACTTAGTGACTCATTTCTAATGAACAGAATGGGGTGGAACTGATGCTATGGGTCTTCTGAGGCTAGGTGACAAAAAGGATAGCCTCCCTGGCTCTCATTCTCTTAGATCGCTGGCTCTGGAGAAGACAGATGCCATGTTATGAGGATCCTCAAGTAGCCTGTGGAGAGGTCTGCAGAGAGAGGAGCTGAGGTCTCCTGCTGACAGCCAGCACCGCTTTCCTGCCATGTGAGTGAGCTGCCTTGGAGGTTTTTAAAAATTACATATTATGTGTGCATAGAAAAAAAGTCTAGAACAATATCCATCAAAACCTTAACAATAACTTTCTCAGTGTGACAGTATTATTTTATTTTTTATCTTTGGTTTTTTTTAAAAAAAGAATCTACATGATATATAGAAACTACTAGTGTTTCACTTTTTAACTTTTAAAAAACTTTTTAACCTAATTAGGCCAGCAGCTATGTCATGTTTCTAGACAACATCAAACATGGTAGGTGCTCAAAAAAACTTTTTAACCTAATTAGGCCAGCAGCTATGTCATGTTTCTAGACAACATCAAACATAATGAGTGGCACATGGTAGGTGCTCGATAAAAGCACAATGGATGTCTTTTAGATGTAGATCCTATCTACTGAACAGTTTTATAAAGTGATTCCAGGATAATGTGAGTCCCAAAAGCTCAATGATGTGAAAAATCAACAACTTTCACAGGAAATAGGCTACTAAGTATAGGAGATCATTTCTATGTTGTATTCTTAGGACACAGTAACCACTTTTCTCTTTGAAACTAAGTATTTTGAGTGATTTATTATAAATTTATAATGACAGTTGTGAACGCCTCACTTTTTTTTTTGGCATGAGAAGAGAGACTGTTGATTGCCTTAGTGCTTAAAATAGTTTCTAAGTGTCCTCATAATAGCATGTCACCTGTAAACAGGTTTCAAGCCAATGCAAATTAACAAATGGTGAACAGATGGACTAAGAACTGACTTTTGTCAAGAGAGAGTTAGCAACAAACACTTTTTTGGCTCCAGTCTTATGGGACCATTAGAAAGTCTTTCACTTCTCGCCAAACATCTTGCCTCAGTAGACAATCCATGCAGGGAAAATGACAAGTTACAAGGCCCATTAGACTTTCGAGAGCTGAAAGTTGAGATTTGCAGAATCACCCAATCAACATGAGTAACGTTCCTTAAGAAGCTTTCTGCCAAACAGTGAAAACTCTCTCTGTCCTGCATCACTAAAGGAAGCTATCCCTGTAGTCAGCTTCTCGTTGAAAAGCAGGGCACCCGTGCAAGCACACAGCACACAAAGCCTGCTTGTAGAGGCTGGTGGGTTACGTTCATTTTGTCCCAGAAGCAAATGTTAATTGTGAAGAAAGCCTGAAAACCACAGAAATGGTGGCATACAAGTGGCCCCCGGCTGCAGAAAGGACCCCTAGAGAAGCCATCCCTTGGGACTTCCCCCAGCTCTTCACTGGTCTCTCTCCTCATTCTCCAAGTCTCTGTCTCATGCTGGCTCCTCAGAGAGGCCTTCTTTGACAAGCCTATTTAAGCTATTTCCCTTGTTCCCACAAGTTACCACCCTATTTATTCCCTTCCTAGCACTAATCATTAACTGGAAGTTATGGTATTAACTTATTAATTTATTCAGAGGTGCTTTTTATTTTGCTCTTTTCCACTCACTAAACAAAAAGCTTCAGGAAGATGGAACTATGTCCTGCCCGTGATTATATCCTTAGGGCCTAGAACTGTGCCCAACACATAGCAGGTACAATAAATATTTGCTACCAAACAGAAAATATGTGAGACCTGGAGCAAATTCAAATAGTCGAGTCTGGTATGCAAACTCTACTTTAGAACAGAAATGTAAAACTGCAGTATGTAACTGTGGAGGTAAACAAAAGAGGGTGCAAGGGGAGAGTAGGCCAGGCTAGGAAATGCGTTTGAAATCCAAGTCCAGCCTTTTGAGAGGACGGCCCCTCCCTCTCAGGGGAGTGTGCATGCTGGTAGAAACGCTATCAGCAAGGATTGATATGCCCATGTCTGAGGCCATATCTCTGAGTTAGCCTTGGCACTGGGGCCTCGACTACAAAATAACCCCACAGGTAAATGGATGAATCGACTGTGGAACATTCAAAGGAATGCTACACCACAACAAAAAAGAACATCGAATGAATCCAACCAATATTATGCTGAGCAAAAAAAAAGCTGATACAAAAGATGACATATTGTGTGACTCCATTTATATGATGTTCAAGGACAGGCAAAATTAATTGTTTAAAGAAGTCAGAACATGTTAACCTTGGGGAGGAGGGCAGCACAGGTACAGACTGGGCACATGGAGAAACCCTTATGGGATATTGGAAGTGGGGGTTACATGGCTTGATCTGGGTGGTGGCTACATAGATGTACATATGAGTGAAAAAAATCAGACTGTACACTCTATGGACCTCACTGTATCTGTCATCCCTTCTACTGGGAAAAAGAACAGCACACATATTACTATTAAAAGCAATCCTTGCACTGATTCTAATCCCAGCTCTGGCAGATGCTCTAGGTGGTCTGTAGCTTATCAATATGCGCTCCTCAGCTGTCTCATTTGTAAAATAAGGACAACTGTACTCATATTCTGCCAATTTTGGGAATGTGAAAAGAAAACAAATAATAATCTCTGAGGTATCTTTAAAAAATCCTTGGCGGAAAAGTCACATACAGAATATGTAGAATGTAAACTGCATTACTGCTGCTTCACAAAGGTCTACGCAAATTATGTTACCATCATGCTTTGTTTCTAGTCCTAATAGATACCTTTCTAAAAGAAAGAAATAGAATAACTTTCCACTACCCAAAACCAAGCACAAAGTGAGTTCACCCAGGACTAAAGTACTTTTCCCAAACCGTCACTCACTGAGGTGGTAAGACAAGAGTCGTGGGCTGAGCCTTGGGTCTGCGTTTGGCAGATACTCCCATCTGATTAGCGGAACGCTTCAATGACTGTTGATTCAAAAGGCCAGACGCTAGACCTGCGTGGTACTGCAACTGTAGAGAACAACAAAACAAAAGGGGAAGAGAAATAAAACTTGGTAAAAGCAGGACAAAGAGTATTAAACTATCAATGCTTGATAATTTTACCCCCTTATGACATTTTTGGTAATTTCAAATACAGCTGCTAATAATCTGCTTCAAGAAATTGATTCATAAAGAGATGATAGGACAAAAAGAAAAAGAAACAAGAATAAGATTGTGAATCACAGCATTACCTAAATGACAAAAAACTGGAAGCAATCAAAATGTCCAACAATGAACTGGGAAACTGGTTAAAATATGAAAGGACTTTACAACATCCTTTTGATGAATCAAAACAATAAAACAAAACAGGTTACATTATAAACAGAGAGGCATTTAAAAAGATGTTCTCTAAAACGCTAACAGTATATTTCTAAGCATAGAATTTGGGTAATTTTTATTTTCTTCTTTATTTTTTGCTATTATTCATATATGCTTTATATAAACGGTTTTAAAGCCTATGTCATTTTTTAAATAAGAAGATCCACTAATTTTCCTTAGAAACAAAGTTAGTTCTGGGAACTCTTGCTACTGCCGTGTCTTACTTATAATAAAAACCATATAACTCAGCAGGCTAGCTGGTTAGTTCAGTTGGTTAGAGTGCTGTGTTATAACCCCAAAGTCAAGGGTTCAGATCCCTGGACCAGCCAACTGCAAAACAAACGAACAAACAAAATACCAAACCATGTAACTCATAGTCTACTGCTGTAAACCAAGACCACACACAGCTTACTATACAGATTTAAACATACTAGGAGCGAGCATTCAGAACCACTGAGCTAGCACTCTCGATGGTGAAGGTACAAACCTCACCTATAAGAACAGCTCATGAGTATGTCTTACAACAATGTATACAAATGGACATAGGCTCACTGAAGAGAACTGGGTGGAGAAGTCGATTTCATTTCTGCTTACACAAAACTGGAATAACGCCATGGGGGTAAGGAAGCAGCGAACTTAAATGGGCTCAGTGCCAGCATCCTTTGCTTTATTCCTGGACAAACTACTGAGCTTTGAAGTCACTTAGCACAGCTCCTTTTACTTCTCTATGCTTCAATTTCTCTACTGGAAAAGAGAAGTGATACTGCCTACTTCTAAACCAAACAGGACTTTAAGAAAATCCACTTTATATTGAGTTATAATTCATGTAAAATATAACGCACACATTTTAAGTGTAAAGTCTGATGAGTTTGGACAAATGTATATACCTGTGTAACCACCACCCCAATCAAGATACGGGGATTTTTCATCACTGCAGAAAGTTCCCTCGTGCCACAGTACAGCCAATCCTTCTAACTCCTATCATCAGGATCTTTTGAATTAAATACAACTCATCATTCTCACTCATTGCCAAATTAAGCTTATATCTTGTAACCACCACCCCAATCAAGATACGGGGATTTTTCATCACTGCAGAAAGTTCCCTCGTGCTACAGTACAGCCAATCCTTCTAACTCCTATCATCAGGATCTTTTGAATTAAATACAACTCATCATTCTCACTCATTGCCAAATTAAGCTTATATCTAATTTGACATGTGACAATAACTTTTATCTTTCTTTTTTAATCCCATATTTCTATATTTTAGATCATAAGAGTTGTCATCAATCTCTCCATAATAAAATTATCCTTGAAAGGTATCCCAATTTTGAACAGATGTAAAGAAAACATTCAAAAGTGAAAATGCCAAGCTAAGAATTGGATTGAGATCATTTATAACACCCAATATGTTTCTTCCTCTCTTCTCAAATTAAGCAAAGTCTTTCAAACATTTATTTAGAATTAACTAAACATACAAATAGTAATTCATTCTGAAGCTCTGAATCAATTTCTTTTCAAAATGCTCTTTGAAGGCATAGATTTTCTTTGCCGAGTCAGCTGCACTACAGCTCATGGTAATGAAACTGGCGACCACCATAGAAAAGGGGTTGAGCCCTGGATGCAAAGGGTAATAACGTCCTGAAAAATAAATGGCCTCACCTAAAGCCATTGGGCTGCACACAGAGAGCAAAGAAAACAAAACCAATTGAAATGATCAGCTCCTTGAAAGTGGTTATAAAAATGAAGATATCCAGTGACCCAGTAAGACTGAAATGTCTGTGTTTGGAGTATCCATATTGCTTTTTAACAGGCTCTTGATTTACTTGGTCGATTTGCTGTGGGAGACTTTCGGCTGCCCAATATGAGACAAAGATACATCACTTTCATAATAAAAATGGAGCTCTTCTCAGGATAGAAAAGGGGGGCATAATTTGGCTCTAACAACTCATCTTAGACCAATGAATTTTGCTCAAATTTGTTTTTCTCCTACAGATTTCTTAAATGGGAAATCAATGGAAGCAAGGGACAGTACAAGTTTGAAAGACAATGTTTCAAAATGTCAGCTACTTGGGATTCGATCTTCCCCACCAGAATTTGCAATGAGTGCAATATGCATGGAGCTTTACAGAATTAAAGGGAAAGACAGCTTGGCCAGGGCCCCCTCCTGGCTCAAGGTATCATCTCTCCTTTTGGCTCCCCTTATTCTTTGTATCTTACTAGGGTTCATGCAAGCTCAGCCATTCTAGCCCTGCTGACTCTTTGAGTGGAAGAGTCCTGCTAACTATGCAGAGTGGCAGGCTGATTTTGCCCACCTGGCATCATTTTGATCATTTGCTCAAACAAAAAAACAAAATAGCAGAAATGCATGCTAACTGCTGTCTGTCCTCTAAAAGGTTCCTTTGAAACCTCTACCATCTTGGATACTCTCAAGTGTACAGTGCACCTCTAAGTGGAAGGACTCCTCTTTCCCCAAAACAAAATTTGCCCTTGAAAGCTGACTCATAATGAGTAAGCAACATTTGTTAATCACATATATGAATCCCAGTTTCCAGGAACATGGCTCCGACTGTCAAGATCTATAAGGGGCCTATTAAATGTTTACTGAACCACCTTTATAATGGGAAAAAAGGTCAAAGTTAATAAAACTGACAGGCAGCTCCTGTCCAACTGGATTTATACATTATTTAAGCATCAAATACTCCGTTCCATAAAACACAGTTTAAATCTGAAAAGACTCTTGGAAAATGTTCACTCAGCCAATGGTTCAAAAACAGCAGAAGGGAGTTGCAAAGCGAATCCACAAATTAACATTAAAAACATATCATTTCCCAAAAAGCTGCCATAAGTTTTCAATTACAGGTTCTGCAATATTTTCTATAAAAATATATTTCAATAAACATACTTCTCTCCAAATGTCTGTGGCATGGAAACAACTCTATTTCAAAAAGCAACTTATCAGACTTCTAATGTGATTTTTATATTCAAGATCATTTCTCCACTTACCAGCAAGAATAAAATGAAAGAGGTAGAGAAATAAAACAATTTATTATTTTAACTTCTACATCTTCCAGCTGTGGGGAATGGGAGTGTCTCTGTGACGAGTCAGGGAGCAGGCTCTGTATTCACTGTTAAGTTGCTGCTCCACAGCAATAGCCATTTCAGTGCTTCAGTGTTCTCTGGATTTTTGAGAATATTTCTCTCAGTTATGATTTTGCTATCTATTCATTCCAACCTTCTATTTTCTATGAATAACCTGGGATTTTTCTATCAGTTCTCAACCTAAAACCCTTTCTAATCAAGTACACCTACTAATCACCTCCATATCTAGGAGAATTTCAACAATTCATAATGATCTGGAGAAAAAGACCAATTAGGATTAGGAAAACCTTGATTTACTGAATAGTTTTAAAAAGTAAAGCTGTCTTAATAATATTAAACATGTAAGAAGCTCCAAATGTTGTCAGGTAGGGTATAGTAAACTTCAATTTATAGACTAAGAGCCTGTGTAATAAGCATCCTCTATGGAAATGTGACCCTGGGCTTTGCTACTAATAAAAGCTGGGTAATCTCACACATCTCACTTCCCTCTCTAGAAAACATGTATGATATTTTCTCCAATGATCCACCAAGCTCTAAAATTTGATTCCTCCATGTTTCTAAAGGAGTCAGAAAAGTATTTGGTGAAAAGTAATGTCCCTACAATATTCAAACAATAGGCTTAACAGACCTTGAATAGCCTATGTCTTTAGAGAATCTTCTTTTGAAGAGTCCATACTATTGGGGTCAAAATTCAATTAGTGTTAATAAGCTCCAATTTACAAATCACAACACATACTGGAAAAAAATGAAGGAAATTATAAAAACAATTCAAATGTGAAGTCTGATTTAAATCTTTGGTTCAGAAAATCAGATGAGCAATGATCTCCTGGTTAGTGTTTCACTTGCTTTATGTCTTCCACATTATTCTGAATGCTCCAAAATAAAAGTAATGTTTTGCAGTGGACCAAAGTTTGAAAAGAAAATAGAAGGAAATTCATCATACCGATCATGTTCAATACACTAATTATACCAGTGGCGTTAAATCAGGCCTAGTTCTTAAAGGCTGAAGTGTATGCTGGAACCTCTCTCGGTCCACACTACAACATTTCATCATATGCAGCGTTGTTCTACCCATGCCATATGGCCTGAATCCCACTTTGAGAGAACCTGACATTCAAAAATCTCAAAACTTATAAGATACCAGTGGCGTTAAATCAGGCCTAGTTCTTAAAGGCTGAAGTGTATGCTGGAACCTCTCTTGGTCCACACTACAACATTTCATCATATGCAGCGTTGTTCTACCCATGCCATATGGCCTGAATCCCACTTTGAGAGAACCTGACATACAAAAATCTCAAAACTTATAAAGCCTAGTTCTTAAAGGCTGAAGTGTATGCTGGAACCTCTCTCGGTCCACACTACAACATTTCATCATATGCAGCGTTGTTCTACCCATGCCATATGGCCTGAATCCCACTTTGAGAGAACCTGACATTCAAAAATCTCAAAACTTATAAGCTAGATCAATCAAGATTTGATTCTTCACACTATGAAAATCACTATTTCCTTCTCAAGGATTCACCAAAGGTTTCTTTAAAGGTGAAAAAAAGAGC